GTCGCACAAAGCGATGTTCATAAAAACATCAATTAGTTAGCCGTAATGGGCACAGCTGAAGTTAAAAGCACTGGTAATAGAGCGGAACACAGCTATAGGCAATGGATGCAGTTCGGTGTATACTGCGCAAGCCGGATCTGGTTAACACCCGTGATTGCGTATTAAAGAAAAGTCGAACAAAGAAGATTGGGAATAAAAAGATGTTTCGCTAGGTGGACTTTAAGCAATAAACCAAAATGCATAAATAGATAAAATAAGTTCGCTTTTCAGGAAAATTATAATGATCATTATAAAATTAAAGTCAATTATAAATAGAACAATACATGTTATTAAATTAAGTGTGGGGTTGATTTGACCTCGTTTTCGGAATATGGTCGGTGCGAAGAATAAATCTTGTGGAATACACCAAGTCTTGCGTGCCCTACCATAATATTTATGATATTTTCTAGCACCCGATAGTTGACTTGGTCTGTGCCATATACCATAACATATACAACCGGGGGAAAAGTATTCGAAATACAAATTCTTCTGAGTTATGACGAAGGTCAGCAGAGGTCGTTTCGTACAATCCAGCGGCCACAAGTCCAAGATAACCCTCATTCGGTATCCGGTGAGCCAAGTTACAAATACCTTTAATCCATCTTTACAAACGAAATCATAAGTATGCCAGTACAAATCACTCTGACTTTAATTCAGTCTGCCATCTCCCTGGTTGAAGTATTTCACTCAACCTCTGCCACCCCATCTGTGCTACTCGAGGCGTTATTTCCAACACTCTGCTTTAGGGAGTTTAACTTGTAGCTAAAGCCACAGAGTAATTCTCATTTGCTTCATGGACCACGTCTATCGTAAAACAGGCCTAAAATGCAAGTTAATTTTGCTTTGGTGACTTTGGGGCAGACATTTCTGCTCTATTCTAATTACTCAATTTTGTTTAGTAGATAAAGCACGAAAACACTAGCCAAATAGTTCTCTAAAACTTTTGAGCTTAAGAATAAAATATGAATATGCCTTGTCTTGATAATGATTGTCGTATAAGAAATGAAAACTCAGCCCATTTCGACATAACTGGAGGAGGATTTCTCGAAGACTGCGTCGTCTCAAAAGTCCGCATAAAGCCAACTAACAACAGACCATGAATAAGCTGCTGATGCTTCTCACCATACTCAACTTTGTTAAACATATCTATTAAGCTCATCTCTTGAAACAGAAGTACGTTCAGATCTACGCTATCACATTCATGCTTATCCTTAAACCATTGAGCCTTAATGGTCCTACGCTGTTACCCTCACCTGTAATTATATAGAGTAAGCTAGTGGTTTTAGTAGCATTACTTACACATACATAAACTCTCATACCCTTAAACATACACGATAAGTAACTAACTAAATAATTCCAAGCCATGCAAATATATATAAAAATATTTTAAGGTTATTTCTTTGGTATTTTTATGGAGCCAATTAGTCTTCTTGATTTTGTGTAAGCCTGAAGTGTTTGCACGAATAAAAATCAACCACGATTATATCTGTTATGTAATAGACGAAAGTTCAGACTATTATCACCGGAACCAAACGAGAATTTTACTAGAACTGCATCAACCTGAAAGAAAGTAAAATCAAACGACTGCAGAGTAACAGGAATCAGCAGTCGTATTCTTGTTATATATATCCAAAAATATTTACATCAGATGCTTTCACACAAAATGAAAGCCACCAAAATAATTTTACTTTAAGTTAAGATGAATTCCACATAAAACCGTCGTCGAAATTCAGTTTTTAGTTATATTTACCAGATCAGCTTTAGCTCAGAAGTAGCTAGTAGTGGATATATTTTATAGCTTAAAATAAAAGTATAAAATATTATAAAAGAATGTACCAACAGGCTCGCGATGAAAAGGACCTATCGCGACTGTTCCAAGAGTTGACCTATGGATAGGGGAGGTCGTAGTTTTACTGGTCAATGATGTATCAGATCCGGCCTTATCTGTAGGTCCAAAAATATTTGACTCACAGCGCTGATTCTCGGCGTGCTCGAGCCATCGACTTAAATAAGGCACAAGTCGGAGAGCAGCTCGCAGCGTAACATCTAATTTTTCGAAACTGTAGACCAGGTAGTAGTTAAGGAGAAGAGAAAAATAACCCAGGTAGTATAGAATATGCTTCAAAATGCTTTATATACTATTGAACTACATTCGAATCTTAAGCATTTCGGTAGGTGAAATCATATATATGCAAATAAAAACTAAAACATGCCTAAAAATATTTTACTTTATTGAAATTCAGGTAGGAAGTCCGGTATGACAAAATAAGCATACCGGCAAAGTAGTGATTGACTGAACAAAAGATATCCTGGGAAGAACCGCATCATCTCATGGCTAAGTTGCGTTTGTGACATGCCCCAAGCACGGCGTTTTTGTCGAAGGCGTAGCGCAAATCTTCGCAGTTGAGTGAGATCGTGTCCTCCAACTATCACTGACGGCGATTTCGACCCCGAATCACCAGATGCGGTCATAGAGAGGGAGGAAGTGGAAGAGGATGATGAAGTAGAGCTGGGAGGGTAAGAGGAAGAGAGATGTGAGGACAAATACTTTGGCGAGGAAGACCGGCTAGAAGGAAAAGCAAAAGCGTCCGCATTGGGTTCGTTAGATGCCCAATTGGCAGAAATGCTGCTATTGGTTGAGCTATCGTTCATCATCGGCTCATCGGCGCTTGATAGCAGCTCAGAATTAGTGTCGCCTCTAGAAAAAGGTTGACTTTGGCGACGGCGAGCCTCTTGAAGAAGACGACAAACTGTGCCGAATAGTGGTCAAGTAAAAGGCATAAACAGTGAAAAAGGGACTATAAAATGTAATATAAAATAAGGATTAGAGCGAGAAAAAGATTTAGAGGGTAATGAACGAAAGAATGAGGGAAAAACTATGAATAACGAAGCTTAATTATTTGTATTACTTTAGGCAAGCTAGAGCAAAGTTAGATCGTAGGTATAAAGATCAAGATGGTGTGGTTTTCTGTTTGGTCGAAGTCTCCTTTAGCCTTATAGTGTTGGTCTGACCTTGTATACATAACTTGGTCAGAACGTCATGGAGACCTTGTGGAACGAACTTAGTCCTGTGTTCTCTGACAAGGAATTGGTGACTTCCAGCTTCGTCGATATCGTCAGTGAGAGGCGCGCCATTAGCAGAGACTTACAACTTATCAAAGTAACAAGTGAAGGCAGTTCGCTTAACCAATTTTCTCTTCAACCACTGTGGAATCCCTCTTCGTCACTATTTTTTGTTCTATCTTCTGATGCTGCATCTCTTTCTCTCAATCCCACTTAATATTGTCCATTGACCTATTCACACAATTCTGTGCTCTCGTTTTCTCCAATGTGGTCTAATAATGTTTAGTCAAGCGTAACCATTTCCACCACCGGTTGAAGGTGCCGTTTGCAGAGCTCAATATACACACATTCTGTCCTCTATCTCCTATCCCGCTTGTCAAATGGTCAATTGACATCAAAATTACTGTCCGGCTGTCTGAAATCTGGCTGCCTAGGAGCCTTCAATTCCCGTCCCCGATTACGCAATATTCAAAAAATTAGAGCAGCTGATGCTCATGGCAGTGCCTAAAAATCTTGCTCCCCTTAGGCTTCAAACCCAAAGCTCGATCATGGAGTGCTCCGGATTTTACAGTATAAATTGAAAGGACTGTAAACAAAAAGAGACGGGAAAGACAATCAACATATATACATATATATAGATATATATAGAGAGAGAGATGTTGGCCGATAACATACCATACTTTTGCAGTTCTAATTACTTTGGGATATCACTACTGGTTTGGTACCTATTTGAACACATATACATCTCTAAACAGACATACTTTCATGCCTCGAGGTTGGCAATTGACTGGAACTAGCCAAATCACTTTATACCTCATCAAAGAGGTCAGATATAGAGTATATATACAGTTTTTTAGGGACGATCCGGTGAGTATTCTTGGCTTGCTAGCTTGAATTTGGTTGTAATGATGATATTCTACTCTGATGTTTTTTGTCATTAAACAGACGACAGCTTAGAACGTTTTCATAGGAATCAAAGGAGATTACCTTGGAAACAGTGTCAATAGGAATGTTCCAGTAAAGCCAATGGGCAGTTGGTCAAGAGAAATCTGCCTTCGTTTTCTGGCGGGATTGACCTTTAAACAGTTTCACTCGAAATGGAAGTAAGCTCAACAATAATAAAACAGGAGATTCCTCTAAATCCAACTTTTCTTCGCAGATATTACTCACCAGTGTGTGGGCATGGGTTCTTGTGTGCATTTTTCGTATCTGTCCTTAAAGAGGTGACTAGTAACTTGGTTGGCCACCGGGGATACCAGACAACACACACACACACATATGAACATTCTGTCACCTAACGATCAGATGCCAATGTCAAGTTGAAGGTTGAGAGGTGTGTTTTTCGCGATTCAAGGAGAAAAATATAAACGGTGCATTTTCACACCAGTGGTTAGACTTAAGCCGGGCACAGGGCCCCAAAGAATGAGACACAATGTGAGTGAGGATGAGTCATGGGATTGAAGTCTATAGAGGGGAAAATTCCCAGGCAATGGCAAGGGCATCGCCTGCTCTAAATATTTGAATATGGCGTAATCAAGGACGGGAATTGAAGACAGCTATATAGTGAATTTAATGTTGAGCAGCGATCAATTGACAAGCGGGGCTGGATGAAAGTCAGGAACCCATCAAGCAGCACCTGGTAACTGTGGTGGAGATGATTACGCTTCACTAAACGCACATGCAGTGGCACACTCTAGGCAAAATTTGATAAAACGAGAGCACAGAATAGAGTGAATAGGTAGATTGGTCATATAAAGTGGAATTGAAGGTATGAAGATTAAGATGGTGTGGCCTTTTGTGTAGTTGCAGTCTCCTTTCGTTGTATACAAGACTGCGACCACACAAAAGGCCACACCATCTTGGTCTTCATACCTTCGATTAAATTATGGAAGTAAGATTGCCGAACAATGCACTAATTACAGCCGGACAAAGAAGACAATTGTAAGTCAATCCTGCCACTTGGCCTTTTTGAATTGTTGCAAACATTATGGTATCGTTCCCCGATTCTGCAATCTAATGAGGAAGTGTCATTCAGACACAGTTAATGAAATACTTTATCACGCCTCCATCCAGAAATTAAAGAAACGTTACGAGACTGAGAGGCGTAAGCTATTTAAGTTCATAGATCTCAAGTCTAGATAAAGGAGGGATCTAGGTATGGTTCTCACTTTGGATGATTTTCAAAAACTCCAGAGCATGACGGACCAAAGTCACAGAAAATTAGGGATCTGATAAATAAGCGGCATGACAAGAAATTGCTTAACTATGGGATAATAAGACAGAGCAAGACCAAGCCAACCCGGGCAAATTTTGACGATTCTTTATTGAAGGCATCAACTGCTACAGACGACGATAGGATAAAAGGAGTAAACCTATCTTCAATCTCTCTGAATTCTGAAACTACAGATCTCTTAAAGAAAAGGCTACATTTTTCACTAGGCAATGAAGGTAACATTTTTAGTGATATTCTGGTGGAAGTTGTCAAAATAACTGTTTAGCACACGTTTGGTAAAAGGATAGGCTTCACTTGTCTCTTTGACGAGTTCAAATATGGTGTTACGAATGGCGTGACTCACTGACGATGCCGGCGAAACGTCTGGGAATGTACAACGTCCACTGTCCTACTCTGGAAATGATGATGCAGACAATGAACTCTGGACAAGGTTCGTTCCTCTAAGTCTTCCTACCAATATGACCGAGTTGCGAAAACAAGGTCAAACAACTTCCATATAAAGTGGAGTTGATAAAAAGATGCAACAATAGAAAGGAGAAAAAAAGGAGAGGCGATGAATGAAGCCATAGCGGTTGAACAAAAAATTAGTAGAGGGTTTCCTTCACTTTTTGTTTTGGTAATTCGTAACTCTGTGTCAACAATGGCGTCTCTCACTGACGATGCCGACTATGATGCTTGCGAAATGCTTGGGTGTACCAAATCAATGGTCCGAAGCTGGAAATCGTGAATAGTTTGGTAGAAGACACAGGACTAAATAAGTTCCACAAGGTCGTCCTGGCGCTCAGACAAAGTTGCGAAAACATAGTCGAACCAGCAATATGGCAGAGTAAATCTAGTTCTCACAATTCAAATAAACTTCGAAGAACACCTCCAGAACTGCGGCCTGTCTCATTGTTGTCCCTTGATATTCAGGCACCCAGCCGATGAGCACATTTCCAAGGGTTTCATTAGAATGATATTTGTTGTCAGGACCGGCGCCGGCCTTATCAACAAGCCAAAATGCGTCAGCGAAAAAATAAATTCAATCAGTTTAACCAAATTTTTATTGAACAGTTGTGGAATTTATCTCGCTCCTGACTCAATGCAGTTTCTGTAGTCTAGTGTTGTATCTCATTTAGCCAAATTCCAACCCGATATATCCTAAATTCTAAATCCGAATTGAAGCCTCTACTCGGTAATACAATTCTTCTTCTTCTAATAGCCTATCTTTCCTTCTCTAACTGGCCAACTGCATTCCCTCGAACAAAAAATTTAGTTACCCTAAGTCTATTGATAATATCAACAGTCCGGGAGCATAGTCATTACTATGAATCCGGTCGGTCTCAGTAACTGGTTGTGAAGCCATCCATTTGAAGCCTTCCATGAAGATGCCTTCAAATATTCCAGATAGATCATATGAGTAACCCCTTGAGTATACTGGACAGAGTAAGGCCAAATGTTAAGGCAATTAGCTAATTAGACATGGCAAGTAGTGTTACGGACATAAAGAACGGATTGACAGAATATGGACCAAGGGGATTTAAGAGTTGAGACACCAATTCAGTTCAGCAAGTCTGGCAGAAGGGATTTGAAACCAGAGAAGGAGGCTACGTGACAATAAACATTTCATAGATCTGACCTTGTTTTCACAACTTGGTCATAATGGTAGGAAGACTTAGAGTAACGCACCTTGTCCTGAGTCCATTGTATGCATAATTATTTTCAAATTCGGACCGTGGACGTGGTACATTCCCAGACGTTTCGCCTGCATCTTCAGTGAGTTTTGCCATTCGTAGCACCATATTACAACTCGTCAGAGACAAGTAAAGCTGGTGCTACAATGGCAAAACTCACTGACGATGCCGACTACGATGCCGGCGAAACGTCTGGGAATGTACCACGTTCACGGTCCGACTTTGAAAATAATTTTGCATACAATGGACTGAGGACAAGGTGCGTTCCTCTAAGC